CTTATTTTTGAAAATCTAATTACAATAGTTTTAATAACGAAGGCCATGGGGCAATGTATAAAAATCCCCGCTCCAACTCAATTTTTAATCATTAATAATTAGGGTTTTGAATTTATTCATTTACATGATATAATGCATGCACAACGTCTTGTTTTAATCCAATTAAATTTAGAAAATATTTGGACATTTAAATGATTCACTAATGTTTAATTTGAAGCACTTTTTAAAAATAATTTACAAAAATAATTTTTCGTTTCCCAATAAGTGCCCTCAAATTAATTAGTAATCAAATCCAATTAACTTTCATAATTTAATTAATATAAATCAAGTCATTTAATTAAATATTATGGATCCAATGCATGAATAATAATTAATCAACAATTATCTATCCCATGCATCATACATCAATAAACAACAGACAAAAGTAAATTAAATGGCCAATGGAATCAACTTTTAACATTTTATTACTCTAAATATTGCGCGAGGGTCCTTCGTCGGCTTGCAAACACCTGCAGGAGGTTGGTATGCTCCTAAAGAGGTAAAACAGTGCATAGGACGCGCCTGGAAGACCCCGCACACATTGGCACAGGCCTGAGGGATGAAGCAGTGCGTGGCACGCGCCTCCATGCGCTCACACGCGCTTGGGAAGTGCTGTGGCGCGTGGCACGCACCTAAACGCGCCTCCACGCGCACCCACGCGCGTGGACGCGCTGCCACGGCCTGGTGTGCTGGCAGTGATTGGCGCGTCTCACGCGCCAGCTGGTTGGTTGGTGCATGATTGCACTGCTTCTGCGCCTCACTAGATCATTGCCTCTTGTCTTCTTGATTTGACGGATAATGCATGCGGTTGCACCTAATTCTGGTGTACCGCATTGCACTGGATTGGTTATCTCCCTTCCGGCATCTCCCTTACTGCCGGCGCCACTCCGGTCACCGGAAAACCGTAGAAAATAATTAAAAAATTCCAGAAAATTAAATTTAAGCCCAAAAAATTTCAAAAAAATTCCAAAAAATTTCAGAAAATTACTGAAGCCTAATTTAACCCTCTTGGACCTTCTTGAAGCTTCATAGCATCCTTTGATGAAAATTACATGGCTTTAAAAATATTTACAATTTGAAATACAATGAAAAAAAAAAAAATTTAATTTACATCATTAAACTTTCAAATGGCTAAATTAAAGCCTTAATTACATTCATTCAAAGATAAAATTACATTCAATTAACCTATAAATTTCATCCATGACCCAAACATACATCATCATTTATTCACAATTATACATACATCCTCATATATCAATATATATTAACATATTAAATCATACATCAACATACATCAATATATATATAATTTGGATCCATGATGATGATTTTGATAAAAACATGATCTCTAGTAATAAATCAAACCATGCTCTGATACTACTGTTAGGAAACGTGCTAGATTTAAAAACTTTTTGAGCGATTTTGATTCATAGATCTTCATTCATCACATAGAGACAAGTTTTTTTAAAAAATAAAATATGATGTATCATTCAATTAACAGATTGAATACTTACATCAAAGTTTGAGTTAACCTTTAAAACTTTCCTCTAAAGTGAATGTTCTCACTTATTGTAGATCCCTTAGTAAGATGCCTTCTCCTTGGATCTCTATCTTCTTGGTAATTGTTTTGCCTTTAGGAATCACTCATAAGCCTCCATGAATGACCTTGAAAAACTAGGCTTGTGGGAGCCTCCATTAGATGAGAACATTAACCCTAATTTTCTAGAGAGAGAAAATATATTCCTTTTTCCTTCTCATCAAAATCACTCCTAAAATATACATAGACCATGTATATTTATAGGCAACATAAAAATAAAGAAAAGGAAACAACAAATCTTTCTCAATCTCTAATTCACATGTCTCAAATCTAATATAATTCCAATATCAAGTTGGGCTATGAGTGAGAATCCATTGGGCCTATTATTTTATTGGCTACAATGAATTAATAATTGGCCTGATCCATGGACCCAATTCAATTAATTCATAAATTAATTTCTACTCCACTAAAAGAAATTAATTGAACTCCAATTAAATAATAAATAACCTCTAAGTCAATATTGCACTTTGATCCCTCTATGCATAATTAGTTATCGAATAAATAAAGCCATCAATCCGACTACTTAATTAATATATTTATTTTGGTACCTTTGATTATTTCTGGCTCGATCACAATAAAACATTTGTCTGACAAAATAATAATTTAAATAAATAAATATATAATAAATCATTTTGTCTAAGAACCCACGAAGGCCTTCGAATTTACTTTGTGATCAACCATAATCAATACAAAATAAATACAAGTAGCAATGATGCAAATATTAAAAATATAACCCTCTAACTATTAATTACATAACTACCCAAAGTGTCGGTCTAAGGATCCCGAAGAATCCGCCGAACAAATCAAAGTAATTATTAATTAATAAAAGAGTCTATACTTTTCTCATGCTTAAGAGTCAAATGCCATGACGGTGATAGGGAGTAATTGCATATGACAATTCTCGTAAAATATCTCAACCTAACGCGGATCCAGTTCAAGTCAATTAATTATGATTGCATCCATAATTACCTACTATAAACAATTTATGATTACTATTTATATTCATGTATTGATCGCCATCACATACATATATAAATATCTCTTGTAATCAAGAGGACACTATCAATTCTATAATGAATCGAAACATAATACATTAAATTCACCAATTGTACAAAACACAAATATTTCAGAAACGTCAAGAACATATGTCACTTTAATCTAAATGGGAATTTGCTATACCAGGGCATATAAATCCCAACATGATCAACAGTCTTAAACAAGCAAGTGGATCACAAATTTAAAAGCCAACCCCACCTCCTCTCTTCATTAAGCCAACCACACTGATAACGAGTTCCTTTCTTTCTTTCATCTTCCTTCAACATGATAAAGTATTCTTCAGCTTTATCATCCCATAAATGTGCTTCAACTCTATCATTGAGCACCTCATTCTCATCCACCACTTGCTCAGTATTCTCACCCATCACTTGTTGAGTATTTGAATCCATCACTGAAACAAAAACTTGAACACCAAAGCATTATTCACTTATTCAACTATTCTAAACTCTTCCACAACTCTTTCAAAATTATTAATGCTTAATACATTTACCCTGCTAAGAATTATTCTACAATAATTTCACCTTGACAAACCCCACAAAATCCTATACATGATCAGTGCACTCCGTGGATCGAAATCAGTCATGCACTCATGCTTAGCTCCATTACTTTCTTTATCATTGGTTTCTTACATGTAACCCATATCTCTCTATAAGTGGTTAGCTCACATGGATGAAACATTGATCACCTTAAAGCATGTTTTTTTTTTTATTATTATTATTATTTTTTATAACAGAATAGAGCATGTTAGTGACAGCAATGAAACCCAAGCTATTCGGATCATTAATTCAGAAATAGAATACTAAAAAAAAAATTACAACAATCAGAAAAAAAAAACTATTAAATCCACAACCCATACATGCACAACAATCAGAAAAAAGAAAAAAAAAAGTTGTATAAGGTATATATATAGAATATAAAAATAGATATTATATATATATATATATATATATATATAATATCTATTTTTATATTTTATATATATATTAACAAAAAATTTGAAAACAAACCACAACCCATACATGTACAACAATCAGAAAAAAGGGGGAAAAAAAAATACAGGGTAAGATAAGCGTACAGTTGTATTATGTATATATATAGAATATAAAAATAGATTTATTTATACATATATATTAACAAAAAATCAGAAAAGGAAAAAAAAAAATACAGGGCAAGATACTAGCAAGACTGATTCTCTTCCTAATACGAAACAAAAAACTATTAAATCCACAACCCATACATGTACAAAAAAAAAAAAAAAAAAAAATACGGGCAAGATACCATTCAAGTCTCAAATCTGTTGAATAGAGGAAAGAGAATAAGATATGAGGACGCACCTGTATGAGAAGAGAGAAAGAGAGATGCGAGCCCTGTGATGAAGAGAGAACAATGAAGAAGTACTAATGGAAGAGTAAAGTGATTAATGGAAGAGTAAAAGAGAAGAAGAAATTACAATGGAGTAATGTCAGTAGTTGTGTATTAATGGAAGAATAATGTCAGTTGCGTAAAAAACGAGAGAAATTGTGGTGAAAACGTTTTCTCTGTTACAGTGAAAAAACACAGAAAACATCATTTGATGTTTTCTCTTTTTTCACAAAAATGAGAAATGTTTTTCATTAAGAGGAAACAAAAACAAATTACTAAACATGATTTTTGTGTTTGTTTTTCCTTTTTAAGGATTGATAACAGAAAACAAAAAATGCTTTGGGTTACTAAACGCACCCAAAATTTATTCTTATTTTTATAGAAAACAAAATTTATAAAAACTGTATGATAGTAAATTCATTAAGAGCAAATTACATTGACACTCATTAAGGTTTCGGTCAATATCACTTAGATGTAGAGCTGCAATGAACCGAACTGTTCATGAACAACTCGAGCTCGGCTCGAGCTCGTTCATTAAGCAAATGAGTCGAGCTCGAACCAATTTCTAGGCTCGTTTATTAAACAAACAGAAACTGAATAACGTTGGGCTCGGCTCGCATAGGCTCGTGAACATGGGCTCGAACAAGGATCGTATTAGGCTCGTTATATATATCAACAAAGGCCCATTTGTTCTTATTATATATTTAAAATGATTAGTCTAGGTTGGCCCAACTCACATTTTTCATTAATATGGCCCCCAAGAATTATAACTCACTAGCCCAAAAAAGATCCACCAAGAATTATAGTTGACTAGCCCAAAGAAGATCTACCATAGCCCAAATAAGATTTAATCTCACCCATTAAATTAAAATCCATCTCATCCGTTGATTTTGTAGATGTTATAAACCCTAAAACTAAGGTCACTATTCGTATCTGCCTCTTCCAACTCCCGTCGTCACTCTCTCTCACTCACTCACTCACTCACTCACTCACTCATCAACTCCACCGACAACCCCTCCACTAGCCACAACTCTCTCTCTCAGATCTGAATGCATCGTCTGTCCTCGCACGTTGTCACGATAATCAGCGGTGGTGCGTTTGGTGGCTTGCGACGAAGATCTCGGTAGTGGTGGTCAAGGCAGGCGGCAAAGATCTGAGTTGTGGTGGTGCGTTTGGTGGCACGCGACGAAGATCTCGGTAGTGGTGGTCAACGCGTGCGGCAAAGATCTGAGTTGTGGTGAGCTCTCTTTCTTTTTACAATTCCTGTTGTCGTGGTGCTACTAGGGTTCTGATTTCGTTTAGATGATTCTGGCTCTGATTTAGTGTTACAATATATATATATATATATATATATATATATATATATATATAATTTCTGTTCTGCAATCAAGGTTGTCGTTGTGAGATTATGCGTTTGTATATATATAATTTCTTTTGATATAGTTTGTGAGCAGCCAAATGTTTTGTTCTCCTTTTTGTTGTTATTATTATTATTTTTCCCATTTGTGTTATTTGTTTGGATATATGGATTTTTATCACTATTTTATTTAATTTTCTTTTCAGGCAGCTGTAACTGATGGATGCGACCGGTCTATTGGAAATCTTCTTTACACAGTAAGCTAATATGGAGTTAACGCGTTTATATAGAGTATAATCCCTACCTAAATAATTTTCCTCAAAAAAAAAATTAGTTGACATATTTTATCAACTGTGGTTTCCTCGCTAAAATTCTGGTGGCATCTCTAACTTTACTTTGCTTTATTATAATTTTTATTTTTTAAAATTTTTTTTTCCATCTTTAATTCTACAATTGTATATAGGTCTCTTCTTGTTGGAAGAAGAAAGCTCACCGAATCGAGTGAAATGAGTGGAATCGGAAAAGAGGTTGGTATATTCATTCCTTGGACATGTCTTCAATTTTTTCTGAAATTTACTTTAGTTTTTTTTTTTTTGTTTTGATGGGTTGTTCTACAATTTAATTCATGCATATTAAATGGGTTTGTCAATTAATTTGATGAATTTTGTAGCCATACCTGAAGATGTTAACTCACCAACTTCATCAACTTTTGCCTCTTCTTTATCACTTTTTTCTTCTTTAATTTCTCTTTCTACTTCATTCTCCTCCACTTTTTTAATTTCATCTTCAACACATACATTTCTTTACCTCTTCCTCATTGAGGAGTGGTAGGAAAGTGGACAATAAGGTAGAGGAACCTAGGAAAGATAGTGAACTGTACATGATTTGCCGAATTACTATCAACCAGTGGCTAATCAGCCGCCAGTTTTTAATCAGGTACCATTAGTAATATGAAAGATTGATTCTAGAGTGTTTGGTTTCTAAAGAGTTCTGAACTCTTTGAAACCAGCTTAAAGACTGATACTTGTTAAGCAAATTATGTAGATCTTATCTATATAAGAATGACGGTGGTTTCACTAGCAGGAGTACTAATGGTAAATATGTTTTTTTTCCCGATGAAATTTATAAGGCTTCGCTGAAAAGGGTAGAACTTTTGCTTGATTCTGTCCTTTTCTTGAAGGATGCCAAAGTATGATGCATGCTCAAGAGGAACACTTTCATGTCTTTTAGAAAACTTTTACTCTTTACACGTGCTAGTTGATATTTTACTGAAAAAGTGTATGTGTGTATATATTGGAAGCAATTCCTAGTGAAAGAAACAAAGCTTGTATATTGTCTTCATGCTAGTACGTGACACTAATGCTTTCCTTGTGCATGTTAGGTTGCAACAAAGTTTTCGGCAAATGCCCTTGTGCATCGCCCAGTGTTGCTATATATATTATATATATTGGCGATGTCAGATTTTTAGTTCTTACAGTAAATACTTTTAGTTCTTACAGTAAATACTCGTCATTTTCGTTGTTAATACAGATTTTTTCTTTTTTTTCTTCCTTTCTTTGACGATAAAATAACCTATGTGATGGATCTCGTGATATAAATGTAATGATCTTGCAATTGATTATTATTTTTTTGCATAACTAGTGCTATTGTAATGTCTAACGCAGGGGAAAGATTGTTTGTTCTTTGAGATTGAGGTGTGTCTCCAAGATGTGGCGCTCCATAATCGACGATCCACTTCTCATTCTCTCTCATAATAAACACTGTCATACTCGACCTGGTGGTGTTAGCCTCCTCATAAGGGATGAAGACTTAAATTCTGAGCTATACTGTGTAGATCCAGAGGGTGGATCAAACAACTTTTTACCTATTGACGGTGCCTTATTTGTACTTCAAATTTTTTGAATTTGAAGTCCATGCACAATATGTAAACGGCTAAATGGATGATCCGATGGGTAAAAAACTCTGTTCGGATGTTTGATGACATTTGGGAACAAAAACGCACAGCCATTCCACCGACGATGGGTAAAAAATCTGTTCGGATGTTTGATGACATTTGGGAACGATCAACACGTGAGTTTTGAGATTTATCCAAAACATTACTTAGGGTTTGATCCTTCTCCCGGGAACTACAACATTCTTGGTAAATGTCCTGTTACTTTTTATAGTGCCCCCTGCCTAGAAACGGTGACAAAAATAGTCGAGTACAATATTTTGACCATCTTCATAATCGCTTTTGAAGTTGGAGAAGAGAAGTTTCGATTCATACTACTCCCTACTGAATTTTCCAAACATTGTTTGCAGTCTTCTAATATCCAGATTGTGGTCACCTCGCGATCTATCAAAGCCAACTGTTTTCTCAATTCTATTAGATAATAGTTTCGATTCATACCACTCTGAGCATAGTCTTCTAATATCCTCACCTCACGATCTATCAAAGCCAACCGTTCTCTCAATTCTCAATTCTATTAGAAGACTATGCTCAGAGTGGTGTGAATCGAAACTATTATCTAATAGAATTGAGAGAACAGTTGGTTTTGATACAATCTGGATATTAAAAGACTATGCAAACAATGTTTGGAAAATTCAGTATTTCGTCTTTCCAGATCATTATGATGGAACACCATTTATTGATGAAGATGGTGAAAGGATACTAGTGAGACTACTAAATTCAAAATGTTCAAAGAATGATGATTGTGATTGGGTATATGATCCGGAATCGCTATCACCAAAATTGTTCTATTATAACCTGGAAAGTAAAAGATTGAGGATGGTCAATTCCTTATCAAACATACCAGATGAAGCATTCTACGCCAAACATGTGGAGAGCTTATTTCGATGTAAATTGTAGCTGAGAAAAAGGCAACTCTTCCTCTGATTTTTTATTTTTATTTTTATTTTTTCATAAGTAGAATTCTTTACAGTAGGATTGAATATTTGTTCAGTTCAGGAATTAGTATTGGAATTCTTAGATGCTCAAAGAGCTCTTATGTGCATTATTATTTGCTCATATTCTTATAGATTGGTAAACCAAGATTCTCAAATTCTACTCTTTATTGCATTAATGATTATTATGAAATTGTGACTAAATCTGTTTTAGTGTGATTATTATGATACATAACATGCTGTTCTAGGCGGCTCCCTCCGCTAGTAGAGTAGTGTTTTTAATTCCGGATCATTTCCAAATACAGTCTGCTTATCTGAACTGATGTCTCAAACCAAGTCCTTTTAGCATCTTTTGGATTTGAAGCTGAAATTCAAAATATGAATTCAAAAAATATATTATAATGATATGTTCTCATTTTCAAAAGCCACTAAGTACTTTCTCAAGATGCGGTTTCATTTCACATTTGGCTAAATTTCTTTCAATTGTTTGTGATTGATTTTGAGCCTCAATAATCATCTGTTTTCCTTATATTCTCACTTATAAGGGATTGACTAATACCTCTTTACACTTTTCTCAATTGATTTCTCTCTTTTCCTCGAAGAAAGTAGTAAATGATGATAATGAACTATGGTTGTTGATCTAGAATGTTTCAGTCCAATGCTTATAAGATTGTCAAGGGTGTTTTGTGTCAGCTTTTAGAATAGCTTCTCATAACCATCTCTAGTCTAAAGCAGGCTTGGAAACTTCCTACTGATCGATGACTACTAGGGCTTTCTTTATGGTGTTTAGGCCCTTCCCTGCTTGTACATAAACCTCTGTACAAAGCTTTCTTTCCCCCACTCCACACACACAAGTAATGCATGGATGGTTGTCACATGAACAGGTTTAGGGATTCAGGATTTCCATATGAGGTTGACTTAGTTGGCCGGGGTAAGGTTTTGCTTCCATACTTGGGGATTCAGGTGTTGGGCCCGATTTGCCTTTCCTTTCACTCTCCATGGAGGGAAAATCCCACTAGTAAAAATGAGCCATCTGGACAAAGAAATAGCCAATCCGCACTTGACAAACCTGATTTGCGTAGTCGGGATACGTAGGTTCGGTCAGACTTTTTTTTTCTTTTTCCGGATGATAGGTCAGACTAGTTTGATATTCAATTACTCTTTTGCTCTATTTTTGAGTGTTATCGGTGTAAGATATTGTTCGGTTCGTATAGGTGCAAACTACACTCACACATGCTGGTGGGCAATACCGTGAGCCCAACTGTCCATGAAGGTGGTGTTGGGATTTATATGCCCTGGCATAACAAATTTCTATCTGGATTATAGTGACATATGTTCCTGACATATCTGAAATATTTATGATTTATATAATTGGTGAATTCAATGTATTATATTTCGATTCATTATGAAATTGATAGTATCCCTGTAATTACAAGAAATATTTATATATATGTATGTGATGGCAATCAATGTATGATATATAAATAGTAATTATAAATTGTTCATAATCGGTAATTATGGATGGACTTATAATTAATTAAGACTAGAACTGGATCCGCGTTAGGTTGAGATATATTGCGAGAGCCGTCGTATGCAATTGCTCCCTATCACCGTCATGGCATTTGACTCTTAAGCATGAGAAAAGTATAGACTCTTTTATTAATTAATAATTACTTTGATTTGTTCGGCGGATTCTTCGGGATCCTTAGACCGACACTTTGGGTAGTTATGTAATTAATAGTTAGAGGGTTATATTTTTAATATTTGCATCATTGCTACTTGTATTTATTTTGTATTGATTATGGTTGATCACAAAGTAAATTCGAAGGCCTTCGTGTGTTTTTAGACAAAATGATTTATTATATATTTATTTATTTAAATTATTATTTTTGTCAAACAAATGTTTTATTGTGATCGAGCCAGAAATAATCAAAGGTACCAAAATAAATATATTAATTAAGTAGTCGGATTGATGGCTTTATTTATCCGATAACTAATTATGCATAGAGGAGTCAAAGTGCAATATTGACTTAGAGGTTATTTATTATTTAATTGGAGTTCAATTAATTTTTTTTAGTGGAGTAAAAATTAATTTATGAATTAATTGAATTGGGTCCATGGACCGGGCCAATTATTAATTCATTGTAGCCAATAAAAAATAGGCCCAATGGATTCTCACTCATAGCCCAATTTGATATTGGAATCATATTAGATTTGAGACATATGAATTAGAGATTGAGAATGATTTGTTGTTTCCTTTTCTTTATTTTTATGTTGCCTATAAATATACATGGTCTATGTATATTTTGGGGGTGATTTTTGGAAGAAGGAAAAAAGGAAGCTATTTTCTCTCTCTAGAAAATTAGGGTTTATGTTCTCATCTAATTGAGACTCCCACAAACCTAGTTTTCCAAGGTCATTCATGGAGGCTTATGAGTGATTCTTAAAGGCAAAACAATTACCAAGAAGATGGAGATTCAAGGAGAAGGCATCTTGCTAAGGGATCTACAATAAGTGAGAATTTTCACTTTAGAGGAGAGATCTAAGGTTTACTCAAACCTTGATGTAAGTATTCAATCTTTTAATTGAATGATACATCATATTTTAATTTTTGCATAAAACTTGTCTCTATGTAATAAATCAAGATCTATGAATTAAAATCCCTCGAAAAGTTTTTAAAACTAGCACGTTTCCCATCAGGTGGAATCCCATAAGAGAAGAGCTTGCTAGTCTTTGGCATTGTATTGGAAGTTCAGAAAATGTTGAAGTGATTGCATCTAAAGAAGAGATGTGAATGGTTTTCCTTGCATGAAGAACACAGAGGGCATAGGTTTGTTGAAGCAAGGTAGGACATACTAAGGGTGGGGTGTTTAAATTACCAAGGGCTGTCATCCAAAGGGTGAAGCTATGCTTGGGTATGTTGTGCTTGAACCATATTGTTGTAGTCCAAAATAGAGGAGGGAACTGTGAAATGATTTTAATGGTAGAGGAGTGTACGGGGAAGGAGCGGAGAGAGAGCCATAAGCAGGGTAGGGCTTGAGATTCCCAAAAGGCGAACTTTCAAATGTGAAACCCTTTATACTGCTGTGGTCAACATATATATTTCACATCGACAAAAAAACTTATAGGAATGCACAATTTTCATTAAAATGAGAATTGAAATATCTAGGACGCGTTCGGGAAGAGAAAACTTTAATACTTTAATAGCTTTGATTGATTGAAAATCCATTACAATTCTAATTAATATTTGTTTCTATTTTTATAGATGTTAAAAAGATAATATTTTATCACAAAATTACACTACCAAAATTATTACCTTTTTCTTTCTTCTCTTGCTTACAGCTCACAGTGGTAGTGGTTTAACTCTTTCTTCCCTCCTCTTTTGATCTTTTGTGTGCATGTATATATATAGCTAACCTTCCAGGGTGATTTACGAATGAAACAAAAATTAAATATAACTTATGTCAATAGATTGGAATTCTTAGATGCTCAAGGAGCTCTTATGTGCATTATTATTTGCTCACTCTCTTATAGATTGGTAAACCAAGATTCTCAATTTTTACTCTTTATTGCATTAATGATTATTATGAAATTGTAACTAAATCTGTTTTGGTGTGATTAATTTTGACAGATTATACCTAGATTTTGTTGCAGTGCGATTGTGAAGGTTGCAAGGTAGAATTTATGGTGGGATGGGTAGATTTGTGGAAGTTATGATACATTAGCATGCTGTTCTAGGCGTCTCCCTCCGTTCCGGAACATTTCCAAATACAGTCTGCTTATCTGAACTGAGTCTCAAACCAAGTCCTTTTACCATCTTTTGGATTTGAAGCTGAGATTCAAAAAATATATTATAATGTTCTCATTTTCAAAAGCCACTATGTACTTTCTCAAGATGCGATTTCATTTCACATTTGGCTAAATTTCTTTCAATTGTTTGTGATTGATTTTGAGCCTCCTCTTTACACTTTAATCAATTGATTCATCTCTTTTCCTCAAATAAAGTATTTGATGATGATAATGAACTATGTTTGTTGATCTTGAATGTTTCAGTCCAATACTACTTATAAGGATGTCAAGGGTGTTTTGTGTCTGCTTTCAGAATTAGCTTCTAATAACCATCGCTAGACTAAAGCAGGTTTGGAAACTTCCTACTGATCGATGACTACGAGGGCTTTCTTTATGGTCTTTAGGCCCTTCCCTACTTGTACATAAACCCTCCAACCTCCAACTTTCTGTACGTAGCTTTCCTTCCCCCACTCCACACGCTAGTAATGTATAGATGGTTGTCATTCGTTAACTGGGGTAAGGTTTTGCTTCCATACTTGGTGATTCAGGTGTTGGGTCCGATTTGCCTATCCTTTCACTCTCTGTGGAGGGAAAGCCCCACTAGTAAAAATGAGCCATCTGGATAGAGAAATAGCCAATCCGCACTTGACAAACCTGATTTTTTTACGTAGCCGGGATGACAATCCGAGGTTCGGTCATAATATTTTTTTTTGTTTGATTGATAGGTCAGATTATTAAAATGAGAATTAAAATATCTAGGACTGTTTGGAAAGAGAAAACTTTAATAAGTTTGATGGATTGAAAATCAATTACAATTCTAATTAATGTGTTTCTATTTTTATGGATGTTAAAAAGAAAATCTTTTATAACAAATTTTATTTTATTTTATTTTTCTTTTCTTGCAACAACCACCAAAAAAACAACAAAGAAACAAGCCCACTCTCACCCTCAACCAACAGCATCAACTGCCAAAAGCCTAGAGATGGAAAGCTGGGATTGAAAGAAGCACCAAATCCTCATCCATGTTAGCCCTTGATAGACCAGCTAAAGTATGAGCCATCTTATTACCATCCCTTCGAACATGTGCTAATGAAAACGAAGAACAAGCCTGCATCTCTTTCCGGACACCCGCAATAGCTTCCACCAGCACTTTAGCATCCGTCTCAAAGCAGTTGAAAGTTAAACGTCTTGGCCAATACACAGCACGATACAATCCCAAAAGCCTCAGCTGCCCTCACGGACAAGGAAGAAACCGGTTTAAAAATCACTCCCTGAAGAACAGAGCTATCAGATTTCCTAAAAACTGCCCCTCCACCTCCTAACAAAGCGGATTTGGAAAAACAAGATTACACTTTTACAATTATTACCTTTTTCTTTCTTCTCTTGCTTACAGCTCACAGTGGTAGTGGTTTGACTCTTTCTTCCCTCCTCTTTTGATCTTGT